GTGTGGTGTAGTGGTATAAAGAGCGGTAGTCTAGTAATCTGGGAACCGGGGTTCAGTTCCGCTCCTCCACTGCTGGTGACTGGGCCAGTCACACTTCTTTGAAGTCTCTCAGCCCCACATCCCTCACAGAGTGTGTTTGTTGTGGGGAGGAAGGGATAAGGAGAATGTTAGCCGCTTGAGACTCCTTAAAGGGAGTGAATAGGCGGGATATCAAATCCAATATCTTTCTTCTTCTTCTTCTTCTTAATTAATTAATTAAATTTGTATACCGCCCTATACCTTCAGGTCTCAGGGCAATTTACAAGATAAAAATCACAATAGAAAAATACAAAATACATAATCAAAATAATAAAAACAACCCAATAACCCTACCTCAACACATTTTAAAAGGGGATTGGATGTCAGCCTCCCACATCCCATAAGAAGATTCTGCTGGATCAGACCAGTGGCCCCTCTAGGCCAGCATCCTGTTCTCACAGTGGCCAGCCGGATGCCTGCAGGAAACTGGCAAACAGAATCCGAACACAAGAGCCCCCTTCCTTCCTGCAGTTTCTAGTGACATATTCAGAAGCATCACCGCCTCCGATCCTGGAGGCCCAGCCCAGCCATAATGACTTGTAGACATCGACAGCCTTATCAGCTACTAATAGGTAGCTTTATATGGCATTTCCCGCATAGTTCTAGTGGTGTATGTCGCCAGCTTTAATCATGGTCTTCCATCCAGCTATAGCCAGGGCTGCTCGGCATATTCTCTGCTTTGTGATGGTGACAATGTTAAGAGCAACAGCAAGCATGATTCTAAAAAAAACCCCAAAAAAACTCCTTTCAAAGCTTAACCGAGTTCTGCCCCAACCCTAAACCCACCACACAGGACTTGTGGTTTGCTTATTTAGGAAAATATGCTTTGTTTCTGTTAGTCACAAGAAAAGGAATGTAACCTATTGAAATTCTGTCCCCAGCATCCTTTTTGCGTTTTTCACCAGACACTGCCTGCATGCTTCAAACCTTTCCAACCTCAACAGCTAGAAACTTGCTGGGCTCCCCCTCTTTTTAAAAAGTCGAGACTCTCAGAATGCAGACTTCTGTACCCACTGCTCAGCCTGTGCTGTGCCCCTGCCAAATACACAGAGGCCCTGGTTGTAATTATTAATAACGGCTCTGTCTTGTTATATATGTTATGGACAGGAGCTGGCAGCCCAACTAGCCCTTTCCAAAATTTATTATTGTTAATGTCATGCCGTCAGTTATGCACGGCACTTTACAGAAGAAGAAGAAGAAGAAGAAGAAGAAGAAGAAGAAGAAGAAGAAGAAGAAGAAGAAGAAGAAGAAGAAGAAGACGGACTGGGCTCTAACACACTGTCTACAACAGTCTCCCCCCATCTGGTGTCTTCCAGATGTTCTGGAGTGCCTCAGCCAGCACAGCTGTACTCCAAAACATCTGGGAGGCTGATCAAAAATTTGACACATGGAGCCAACAGAGGGAGGTGAGAGCAAAATGCATTTGGCTCAGGCTTAGTTTTGATCGCCGCTGAAGACTACCTGTTCCTTCCGATGGCAGTGAACCCATCGTTGCTTTCTGCTCCTGGCTGCCCCTGAGCAACAGAAATGTGTTCATTAGCAGAAGCATGCCCCTTTCGCAATGCCTGGCTCCTGACAAAAGTGCTGCCATAGGCTGACACGCCTGGCGGGAGCAGTCAGTCTAATATAGGTGCAAAATTGGCCCTAGACTTTTAAGTTGCTGCTATGCTTGGCGTTGGGCCTCTGGATACGAACACCCAGTTGACAGCTGGGCATGCCGTCCAGAGCCTGCGGCAGATGGATGAACTGGCCCAGAACATGTGTCTCTGCGGAGCTGCCGTGTGTATGGTGACGTTACTGATTTTTTTTAAGGCGTTCCCACACTGAAACAGGAAACCTTGACAAATGCTTAGAAAACTCTCTCGTCACTGGGCTTGTACTTAGGGCTACCTAGGTCACTGAAAGCACCCAAAGAATTCTGGGAACTGTAGTTTGTTAAGGGTCCTGAGAGATGTTAGGAGACTGCCTCTTCCCCTCAAATAGCTACTGTTTCCAGAGTAGTTTGGCAATCAGTTTACAGTCCCCAGAAACTCTGGGAACTTTACTCTGAGCACCCTTAAGTACAGTTCCCAGGATTCTTTGTGGGAAGCCATGAAACTATTGAAGTGGTTCAATAGTGCTTTAAATGTACAGTGCGGCTGTGGACCTAGTTAACCACCAGCACGCTTTAAACACACCTTTCTACTCATAATCAGCTTCATTTAAAAGGACAGGATTGTTCTCCAACCCCTTCAGCACATGGCTCATGTTCACAGTTGGGAGATTTTGATCCGTGCCAGTCACTATATGGTGCCCCATACACAAACCCACACCCCTTTTAGACACACGAATAATGAGCCTGAAACAATTACTGGGCACATAATCTAGAGGCCACAGCGTGACCCAATCAGCCCTTTAATCATTCTGCTATGTTTTCCAGACTTTCTAGCTTCAGCGAAGCATCTCTTCGCCAACCTGTCCGCTGAGGAACTGTGTGAATTTGTGGGGGCCACTGCACACTGGAACAATCTGCCGCCTTTCATGGGTGGCTTTCACAAGATTCGTTGGCCATCGCCAGCTTCTTGTGAACGCACTAAGATGCTCCTCCTGGAACAAGCTCATTTGGAGGTGAACGCTGGTAGGATCGGGCAATCTGTCCTTCTGGGAAGCTTGCCATTGATCTCCCGATCGAGGAATTCCCTAATAAGCTTTGGAGGGATGTCCAAGGCCCCACCAAAAGCAAAGCTTAAAAGCCTCTACTTGGTTGCATCCACAGCCTCAGTGGCTGTTGTTGTTGTTTAGTCATTTAGTCGTGTCCAACTCTTCGTGACACCAAGGACCAGAGCACGCCAGGCACCCCTGTCTTCCACTGCCTCCCACAGTTTGGTCAAACTCATGTTCATAGCTTCGAGAACACTGTCCAATCATCTCATCCTCTGTCATCCCCTTCTCCTTGTGCCCTCCATCTTTCCCAGCATCAGGGTCTTTTCCATGGAGTCTTCTCTTCTCATGAGGTGGCCAAAGTATTGGAGCCTTAGCTTCAGGATATGTCCTTCCAGTGAGCACTCAGGGCTGATTTCCTTAAGAATGGATAGGTTTGATCTTCTTGCAGTCCATGGGACTCTCAAGAGACTCCTCCAGGACCATAATTCAAAAGCATCCATTCTTCGGCGATCATCCTTCTTTATGGTCCAGCTTTCATTTCCATACATCGCTACTGGGAAAACCATAGCTTTAACTACACAGACCTTTGTTGGAAGGTGATGTCTCTGCTTTTTAAGATGCCATGGACAAAGACAAGAGGCCTCAGTGGCTAAAGGGTGGCAAAAGGTTGGGCTGTGTTTTCTTACACTACACTTGTGAGTGAAGTGGAAGTTCAAATCAGCATGAGCGGTTGTGAGTATGGAGGAGGATGCCACATACAGATCAGAGCCTTGTACTCTGTATTAATTAACCCAGAATAACTGGCCTCCCTTCCCCATGTAAAAACATAAAGAACATAAAAAGAGCCTTTCTAGAGCCATCCAGTGGCCCATCTAGTCCAGCATTCTGATCTCACAGCAGCTAACCAGATGCCCAAGGGAAGCCCAGAAGCAAGACTCCTGCGGTTACCAGAAAATGGTATTCAGCAGCATCACTGTCTCTGACCATGGAGGCAGAGCTGGAGCCACATGGCTAGCAGCCACTGATAGCCTTTGTCCTCCGTGAATTGGACAGATCCTCTTTTAAAGCCATCCAAGTTGGTGGCCAACACTGCCATCTGAAATGGTTTGGAATCCCTCCCATAAGTCCATGTTGAAAGAACTGAACATTCCTTATCGCTCACTCTCTATCCACCTTGGTTGTGAGCAGGGCTGGCATCACATCCGAGACCGATTATTATAATTTGGGTGGGTGGCGCTGTGGTCTAAACCATGGAGCTGATCAGAAGGTTGGCGGTTCGAATCCCTGTGACGGAGTGAGCTCCCGTTGCTCTGTCCCAGCTTCTGCCAACCCTTGCAGTTCGAAAGCACACCAGTGCAAGTAGATAAATAGGTGGCGGGAAGGCAAACGGTGTTTCCGTGCGCTCTGGTTTCCGTTGCGCCAGAAGCGGCTTAGTCATGCTGGCCACATGACCCGGAAAGCTGTCTGTGGACAAACGCTGGCTCCCTTGGCCTGAAAGCGAGATGAGCGCCGCAACCCCACAGTCGCCTTTGACTGGAATTAACTATCCAGGGGTCCTTTACCTTTTTTGGCATCCGAGACACAAAATCCCACAAACACCTTTCCCCCTCCCCATCTAGCGGTAAAAATAAAATAACGGCCATATCAGACAACTTGCTGCCTGAGACAGCCACCTCACACTGCCCAATAGTAGGACCGGCCCTGGTTATGAGCAGCAGAATGTGATGTTAAAGGGGAGGAAACCACAAAGAGTCCAATAGCCCCTCGGAGACTAAGAAATGTGTTATGGCATGCACTTTCATAGACTCCACTTCAGCAGCTGCAGAAGAACGCAGGTATCATCCCTCTGGAAGGTATTAAAGGGGAAGTCATCTCTCTGTGTGTTCATATTACTTACATCCCACTTCTGTATGTGGCTCCCGTGATCTCCCATCCCATTTTCCGTCTGGTTATATGCCTGCTTATCTTCGGTAGTACTGCAGCAACCTCAGCTGCTCCCAGACCATCCCTTGTCGTCTCCCCAGTCCCCCCACCCCACCCGCTTGCCGCTCTGCCTCAGGAAATAAATCTGTGCTTAGCAATCTCAAGTGAATTCCCCAGGAGGCAGCAGCTATTGCAGAAGAATTAATGTAGAGTCCAGGCCGCGCGATCTTATAGGTGATGCGGTGCCTACCGCCTTAGAAAGCCGCCCTCGCCTAGGATGCCCCCTCTCTCTGGCAGACTACAACTCCCATGGCCCCTCGGGTGGGAGGGGGTGCAGCGAGCATGCTCAGCTTCCCTGCTCTGCTCCCCCCTCCCCTCCCCGCATCTCTCTCTCCCTCTCTCTCTCCCTCTCCTGCATCTTCCCACCCTGCTCTGCTGCATCAGCACCAACCTCTCTCCATCCTTAGAGCATCTTCCTCCTCCCAGCTTGGCTGAGCAGGGAAGGCTCAGTTTATCCATTACTGCAATTACCAGTAACCTTCCTTCCCGCCCTCCTCCTCCTCCTCTTCCTCCACCACCCCAAAGAAGAGGGGTCTTCGCCAGCCACCGTGTCTGTCTGTTGAGCCACACGGAGGGTGGGGGAGAAGACCCACTGAGGACCCACAGCCTCGCCAGGAAGCAAGCGCAATGAAGGATCGCACCCAGGAGTTGAGAAGTGTAAGATGCAATTTTCTGTCTTCCCTTCCCCCACCCTCCCACAACCTTGATTTAATGCCTGGGGGCCTTGTCTCTGTCTGCCCGCCACCCAGCCCCCAACCATGTAGAGAGGCAAGTGGGGAGATGTATTTCTTATATTCCCTTCCTCCAACTCTCCAAATGGCACATAAGAATTATTTTATTCAGCAGTCACTAATAGGCAAGGATTTAATGGTAGGAGGAACACTCTGTATATCTAAATTGTCGTGTGTGTTTTTTTTGAGCGCGCGGGGGGGGGAGAGAAGGTGGCGGTCAGATTATTGAGGGGGGGGGAGAAGCGATCCACTGCGGGATCTGTCGAGAAGGATGTCTCAGGTTTCCAAGATGGGGGAGGGTTGGACTTGGGCATGGGGAGAAGAGGGGCTCGTCTCTCTGCAAGACAAGGGAAAAGGCTGCCTGCTTGCATTTCAAGAGGGTTGAAATCTCTCCAGCGAAGATTTACACAGCCATGTATCTGAATGTGGGGGAGCGGGGAGAAGGTTTTGTGAGGTTGTTCCATTCCCCCAGAAGTATGGGGAGGAATTGGGGGATGCATTCTGTTAATGTACATGTCCGTGCGTATATTAAGGCGATTTTCTTTCAGAGTCAGGGGAGAGGGTGTTTAAATATCTCCTTTTAAGTCTCTTATCCTAGCCAGTGTATGTCTACGGAAATTTGTGTGTGGGAAGACACAGTCAATTTTTATAGGTCATCCCATTCCTCCCCTCCCCAAAGAGGAAGGGGGGTGGGTTGGAGAGAAAGGAATAGCCCTTAAGGCGTCAAATATTTCAGGAAGTGTGAGAATGGAGGGGGTGGCTGGGCGGGGGGGGGGAGGAGGAGGAGGAACTTTCTCCCCCCTCCTGCTTCCACCAGCTTGTTGGGAGAAGGACTGTGATGGATGGTTTTTCTCCTTTCACCTCTTTGCATTTTGGGGGGTGGGGGGAGGGTGGGGGATGGCTGAAGGTTGAGCCAAATTGGATGTGACAGATTCTGTCTCAAGGGGAGAGGCATTGGGAGGCAAAGAAGTGTTGTGGGGTGCATGCGTGATTTATAGCCCGGTGTGTTAATGTCAGTTCCTTGATTAGCACAAAGCACTCACGCATCGATATGTTAAGAGAGGGGTCTAAGGGGAGATCACCGAAATAATTCCTAAGAACCCCCTCCTCCACTTTTTCTAAGACCGCCCCTTACACACGAACTGCTGTGCTCCAACCTGCCTCCCCCCCCATCCGTTTTCTGGTTTGCTGAGATAGGATGTGACTCTCATTTCCATTTAAGCCTGGAGACACACAGCAAATCTTTGGCTCCTCTCTCTCTCCCTCCCTCCCTCCCCCCACGCCGCTCCTTTCCCTCCCTCCCGTCCCCCACCCCACAAGGGGATGGAGTCATTCATACAAAATGTTTTCAGTCTGTATGTAAAGGAACAAGAAGTAAGGAAGAGGCTTTCTGTGATCTCGCTATGCCAAGTGGGCTGATGGAATTGGAGGGATCTACTTTTCTCACATCCATCTAATTTCTCGTAGTTCTTTTTAAAGTTGGGATTGTCCGCGATCTGGCAAAAATAAAACAAGATTCGTTTTGTTTTATTTGGACCAAAACGAGAATCACAACAAACTCGCCGTCTCCTTCTCTCCTCCAAATGAGATTTACTTCTTCTTTTTTTAACAGTGCCTGCTGTTACATGGTCTGGTCTGTTCAATTTTAGCACCTGTGCTGTTGTTGCTTTTCTGGCCAGTTTCAGGGTCTTTTGTGTGAAAATGAGGAGATGTGCGCTTTTTAGTATCTCTCTGTGTGTGACAGAATATCACGGTGTGCGCGTCCCTATGTGTACAGGGACAGGGCTTTTGTTACATATTCCTCTCTCTGGGTTTTCACCCTTCTCCGACAGAACAAACATTATGTTTGTGTGTGTGCAAAAGTTGGAATTCCTGGAGTTGCACATCCTCTCTGGACCCCTTTCTCCCCAATGGCTTGTGTGCATTTGTGGGAAGCAGGAGAAGGGGCTCCTTGGCCAAATCATCTTTGCGGAAGGAATATGTGACACTATCACCCAGCGACAGAGAACAGAAATTCAGCCATCTCCTTCCATCCCAATTCCACAATTGAATTGCAACCCCGAAGAAATAATTCAGTGACCTTTTCAAGCGTTGGGAGGATTTCTCTCTCCCTCCCCCCCCTCCAACCCCAACCTCAGTTTCTGTTTTCTTTATCCGAGTAGAGCAGAGATAAAACGGTTATAATCACCATTCCATATGCTTCCATCTGCAGTAGCAACAAAATCGAGCTATTCCCTTCTCTTTTAAACAATGGGGGGGGGGAGCAGATGCAGTGACAATAAAGGAATCTCTCTCTGTGTGTGTGTGTGTGTGTGTGTGAGTGAGAAAGTGTGTGTTTTATACATATATATATTTATTCAGCAGCTCCTCCCCTCTGCCTCCCCTTTATTCTGCATGGATTACCCGGGGGGGGGGCGCCGCCGACGGACCAGACAGAAATATTGTTGAAAAATTGTGCAGGCTCCCGATCTGGGAATAGCTTTAGTGGCTGCTTATACAGGGTGCTGGTGTGATGTGCCCCACCAGATCTGCTCAAGGCAGATTTATTTAAAAATGCAATCTCCACCTCCATCTCTCTCTTTCCCCCCTCCCTCCCCATGCCCCCTGCAAAAAAAACAAAAAACATTTCTTTGCCAGTGTGGGGGAGAGAGACTGGGTTCCAGCATCGCTTCCTATCCTCCTGCCCAGGCAAGGGAGAAAATGGCATTTGCTTTATCGTTGGCGCATTGTGCGTTTGGGGGGGGGGGTTATGATGGAGGAGACGGTTTTGCTGCAGGAGCCAAAGGCTTGTATGTATGTGTCTGTGTCTCTCTGAGCGTCTCTCTCTCTCTCTCTTGCTGCTCTCTCTCCCCCCCTCACCCCACCCCAGTGTTGATAGTGTTAGTTGCTGAATGCAGCAGAAGAGAAGATAGGCACACAATAAAGAGAGATGTGGGGGAGATTATAAAAGCAGGTGTGTTGGCAGGAAGGAGCAGGATGGTGGTGCTGGCATCGCCACCAAGTGTGGTGGCGGCGGCAGTCGATCTTGATGGGGGCGAGGAACCCGCAGCCCTGAGGCAGTGTGATGGGGTGTGTGGGGGGGGGGTGTTGCAAGCTTTGCAAAATCCTGCAGTCTAGAGCCGGGCTAATAAGCCCACACAGACATAGAGAAGGGCAAGAGTGCTTTGCAATGATGATATGCACCGGAGGCGCACAGGCGAGGGACTGTGGCCCCGTTGTCTCAAGCCTATCTGTTTATCTCCTCGCTGTTTAAACCCATCCAGTCTCCAGCAGGGGAGAAACATCACAGTGAAACAAATCAAATGGGGAAGTCTAACCCGCTGCTGAACTTCCCTCCCTCCCTCCTTTACACCGCACACAGCGGACCCCAGCCAATTAAAAGCCAAACTGAGATTTGCTTTTGGTTTGTTTGTTTGGGTTTTGTTTTTTAAGTAGGAGGAGGAGGAAAGGTCTTCAATGCTCCTTAAAAGATGCTCAGGTTCAGACTCTAGAGTGTCTCTGAAGAAGGAGTTGTGAGACAGGCTAGTTGTGCTTAAAATGGGTTGGATTGTAATGAATGGGAGCTGATAGCGGCTGGGGCTAGAGAGGACACCCCTCCCAATTCTGCATTTGATTCCCTAGAGGCCCATAAAACAGACTCCACAGACACAGCTCCCTCCGTCCGAACAGTTTATTAATTCCCGGCCGTGTTCAGGGAGCATATCCAGAGGGGCTGGCTGTGTGTGCATTAAACGGGCAGGACAGGGCTGGAGGGGCTGAAATATGAGGCTGGAGGAGGCTGAGAGAACTCAGGCAGCAGGTGGAGACACAGGTAAGCTGAGATTCTGTTGAAGGACTCGAAGAGGAGGAGAACCAGGGGGGTTATTCTGGAGCATAGCAGAAGATTTGGGAGAAAGGCATGGAGGGAGTGGGCAAAAGAGGGCTTGACTGCAGGTGAAGATGTTCAGAACGGAGACAAATGAGAAGGGGAGCATAAGGAGTCAGCGGCGGAATACGGTTCTTTGTGCCTCTTTTATGTGAAATCAATTTATACCCCGCTTTTCTTGACTGATTGTGAACTCAAAAGCAGCCTGCAATTAAAAACACACAAGCAACTGACTGTGCAAATTAATAAATAAATAGTAAACAAGCGGCAATAAAAGAGCAAAGTCCCGACTCGACAAAGAAAGCGGGGGAGGGGGGAGAGAGAGAAACCAATCACAGTAGCAGTAATGATTATTAGTCTATAGCCGCATGGTGGGGATAGGCTAGCCAGATGACATTCTTTTTTAAAGGCAGGTTTTTTTTACCTGCTGTCTAAAAGGATGCAGCCTGGGATATTGCCGGGGGGGGGGGTGTTCTATAAATGTGGCACCACTACCAAAAAGGCACAGTCCCTGATTGGCGCGTGTGAAACTTCCTCTGAAAGCAGTACCAGAGCAAGGCCTCGGATGCTGAACGGAACGCATGTATGCAGACAAAAGTGGTCCTTTAAGCAGCCCAGGTCCCAAGCTGGTTGGGGCTTTAAAAGTCAAAGCCAGTACCTGTACTGTACCTACAACTGAGCCTGGAAACAAACAGGCAGGTGGATAATATTAGATTAATATCACAGGCTGCAACTGGCCAGCTCTGTTCAATAAGCTGGCAGAGCCATTTTTTTTCGCACCAGCTGAAGTTTCCAAATATTTTTTTAAAGGCAGTCCCACATATGACGCATTATTACAGTGGTCTTGTTCCTTGGGCATGAATGGCTGTGGCAAGGTCTGACTTAGAAGGGAATGGCCAGCTTGCCAGCTGAAGCTGGTGAAAAAAGTTCACCATTGCCACCTCCCATATTGGAATCCTGGCCTCCCGGTTCCTACAGCAGATTTCTAATCTCTAGGGTGGTCTGGCTGAGCTGTTAAAATGAGGACTAGTAGCTTGAATGAACCAGAGGTAAGAAGTCCT